CCCCCCCCACCCCCACCCCACCCCACCCTTATCTACTTATTGTTATGGACTTAAATCGCTAATTTTATCTCTCATATGAACTAAAACAACCATTAAAATCTGTCATTACTCGAGAAGATTCAAAGTCCTTAATGAATAGAAGTTTTTTACACTCGAACAGAAAAAAAATTGGTTCAATCAATGAAAAAACGCATATTACGTAATTCCCATCTTAGTGGGATTCACACAAGCTTGATTTAGATGTAGTATATGACTAATAAATGAGTACGTAATTAATCAGGAAGACCCCAAAGTTGTTACATGCGGATAAAGAAATGATCTGATTTACTATCGAGTGGGGTGGGGTGGGGGGGGGAGGAATAGCAACGTATTCTCCGTAAGATTTAAATCACTCTATGTGATACACATGTGTGCCCCCCCCCCTGTATTTGTTGCAAGTCTGACAACAACTAACTCGCTGCAACAACTATTAAAAAGTTGCGAGTTGCAAGGGGGTGATAGAGAGATTTTTAGTTTATGACCTTTCGCGCACACCGCGATGGTGAAGTTGGTGAGATGAGATAGAGGAAGGGGGTGTGTGGTAGTTAGGTTAAGAAGGAGGGGGAGGGGGGCGACGAGTAGCGCCGAGTGGATCCTTTGACTTACAGCTCTCACAAGCACCGGCTTGACAGCATGCAAAGGTGATTGTAACGAATTGGCGCATTATGTGCTTATTGGCTGAAAGTGTATCCACCAATCGGGTGAGAAATATCGTCGCAGAGTACCACAAACTAACAAGTTCTATCTCAGCGTTAGTGTTAGCAATTAATGATTTTTTCTTACATTTAAAGTCCAAATAGACACTCCCTCGGTATTAAAAAAAGTGAGATTTGCCAAGTACATATTAACAAAAATTTTACTAAAGATATTCATCTAAATTGTACAGAATACTAGCTGATTATAAGGTGAATTCAATTTGTTTTCATTGCAAATTCCAGCATACCATCCAACTCTATGCCATAAAGCTCTAGAGACGAAATTGATACATTAGCAAAATTGTGTTGGGAGTGGATTGTGAAGTACAGAGTTACGAAAAGATGCATTTTGGATGAAAGGTGACATCTGGCACAAATTATGCAGTTTTCAGTCACCAATATACTGTCCTCTAATTCCCCTTGCTTTGAAATTCAAACGGCCCAAAATTAAACTAATCAGTAACCTTCAAATATTACTTCCTTTTCCTCAAAGTTAGCAAAATGATAGCGGTCTGTGTTTGTCGTTAACTTACAATTATTTACGTTTAATAAAAACCTTCCTTATTAATTAGTGAACTAAAGATATTCATGTCTCGTGAGTAAACACTAGTGAATCACAGCTATATGATTAACTCATTGAGTCGACAGTTAGCTCAACTTAGATGAGATGAAAGTGCTTAAACAGATAATGTAATTGTTGCATTTTCCAGTCTATTTGAATGATCGAAACTTTGTGGTACTCTATTCTTTCGCAGATAAGTTCCTACTAAGTCTGATTGTAAAAATAAGCGCAAATTGGTCTTAAGATAAGCTACTTCAACGTCGGTAAACACGAGTCTTGGAGTGACATGGTATCATAATGGTTTTCCTTTCAAGGAACTCTCATATCGTCTATTTAGTGCCAAATTTTTGACTGAGTAATTGGTAGTACCAATAGATAAAAGATGATTCATTGAAGAAGAACTTAAGCATGTTTGCAAATATCCTCAAATTAAATATTTGAGGTCGAATACTAAGGTATGAATCCATATTCAATACCCTATTTGTTCCAATGACGAACTTAGTTACTCCATCTCCCATTACCAAATGTGAAGACCTATGATCAAAGGCTGGGGTGTGCAATAGACTTACCTCCACGTGGTGCACCCTGGGCAACGTATACTCATACGGCAAAAAAGTCTATTACCTGGCAGTTGACTTCTGACTTCAAACTACCATCACCCCCACTGTATGTCATATTCGACTACTTCCACGGTACTCACCTCGCATTTTTTCTACCTCTGTCTTTGTAACACTTTTGTCCCCCCTCCTCTCGACTTTTTTGTCACTTTGATATTCCTCCTCCTCTCTGTGAAGTCTGAAGTCAACTAAAGGGCTAATGATATCCATCAAAACGCCTGCCATTTGATATAAATAAACGATCAAAGGCTTTATCACTAGCGCCATTTTTCTCCTGTAGGCTATTAAAAATTTGAGAAGATATGACCTTTTACTCAGTTTAATCAAACTACTCAATTAAGCCCTGGGAGTAGAGCACATGAACACACCAAATAACCTGGAAGTCAAATATTGAAAGTTAGAATGTGGAAGATTGGAGACTAAAAATTAAAAACATTCTTATGGAATGGGGTCAAAAAAATAACATTATATAACTAGGTTATTTTGAGTATTTAATTAATTTCATAAACGCATTCTATTTATTGGACAAATTTCGTGTTCCCTGGTTTATCTATGTTGCCGATTATTCAGTTATCTGAGGCGTTTCATTTTATACAACGTTGATTAATATAACTACACCACTGATAAATGAGTTCAAACCACTTCCCTCAGTTTGAACACTTAAATCAGATATTTTGCGGAGGTAGGGGGTCCTTAATTCAAATGCTCTGAAGGGATCCATGATATCAAGACCAAATGAAGCATGAAGAAAAAAAATTAGCTTAACTTCAAGTGATAGTGAAAACTTACCGCTTGGTATTCTTTCTGTAATAGGCGAAATGGTTCATTATCCAAGCATATATCTCACTCAAGGTTGCTCTCTTCTCCTTATTTGACATCATAGCGGAGACAATGAGAGTGATATATGAGAACGGTGGTTTCATACTACCATCCAACTGATATTCGGCAATTTTCGGCTGTGCAAAACCTCCACACACAATCGGAATAGGTCGGGCTTCTATAGGGGCTCCAGAAATCGAAATTCCTTCCGGAAACGTACTTTGACCTTGCTGTTGGGCATGATGATGATGATGATCGTATTGATGCTGGCTTTGCGCTTGCGGCTGAAGGTCAACAGCCTCAAAGACCCTTGGAGTAGAAATCGATTGCTGTTGTTCTGGATATCTCGCATCTGCATAGACATAGTCTGTAGAAACTCCTTCCCAAGTTGTATTTTCCGATGTTTGAGGCCACACGTAGGTTGGTAAAGGGGAGGATTCATACTGAACATAGTTTGAGTAATCAGATGATCTATGTTGAGAATCTGATGTCGCTAATGCCGTGTTGTTATACATCGTGACATAATAACGTGACCCTTCATTCACGTCATCCGCTATTGCTTCATCGAGATTTTGGGGTTGCGATGAGAGAACTGGAAGACTATCTGCCATCGAGACAACATCATTAGTGACCTCAATGCTGATTGGTTGTGACTGAGGTGGAGGGGGAAGTTGACCTTGGGTGTCCGAGAAATCTGAGTAGGGCGGAAAATAGTAGTTTGAACCCGAGGCGTGAGTAAACATGATTGTGGAATGTGACAATTGTCAGCATCTGGGGGCTGAACGTTTGGTACGCTGTGAATGGTACTCATGCTCATTTTCACCAGTTCACCAATAAGCGAACTGTGCGCTGATTTGCCAGATTTCTATTGGTTGAAGGCTTTAAATGTATATTTACCTTGTAAATGTGCATTTCAATTTCTTTCATAATTGATGTTTTTGGCTGAAATATATTTTTTCTTCTAGATATATTATTTGATTTATCATCAAAATAAATTTTATACGCTAATTTAAGTAGAAAACAAGATTAATTAAGTGAGGGTAAAAAATTGATTGTACCAAGGAAAATAATCAAAAATTTTGAGTTAGAGTTTCAATTAGGTAATTATTATTCTTACTCAAGTATGGTAACTTATGCTCCTAGTTCTTGCTCATTTCATAGTGTCCGGTTGAGGAAAAACTGAGTCTAATTCAATTTTTCACAAATGTTTCAGGCACTTGAGTTGAAATTCCATTTGAAGTGTCCTTGTCCTCATTAATTAAGCATTGAAGGTGGCATTGGAAATGGTTTTGGTTTCGTTTTTGCGAAAAAAATTTGTCCAGTGCTGTCAACTTTTGCATATATCGGACAAATTTTTTTGAATCTTCTGAATAGCGCTTCTTGCGGTGGGAACCAGATTCACCATGACGGATTAATTGATAAGAGAAGGGATAGATTAGGCTTCACAGCTTTGTCCATATCCAACTGTTAAATATATATCCGCAGCCCTTTTGTTGTAGTGTTACACAAACGATTGGCGTCCATCAATTACTAGAAAGAATAATGCCACCGTTGAAATTTCGGCATTTAATTATTACCCTTAAACAAGTGAAATATTTTAATAAATGGACTGCTTCCTTTCATAAATGCATTTGATTTACAAGGTGGGTCATTACATTAAAATATTATTTACGAAGTCATTTAACCTAATCGAAGTTCTGATTGGCTGACTGACTTCAATCGATGCCAAAGTAAAGACCATTTCTTGACTTTAGCCAATAAACTACCTGTTATCTCCGAGGTGGAGATGACTTTGTTGGCGAATTATGAATACTAACCTATAGCATTTCTAAAGTTTAAAAAAAATTGCTCAACTTCAATGCAGCTGTTGTCAGCAAGAATGTATGAAGCAGGCGAAGGAAATTGTAATGTTAATACCCTTGTTGCAAGAATAATATTTCCCATGCCACCATTTCATCGATTTTCACAAATTTAGCTTGCATTTTTGTTATAAATCGATACTTACAGTGGGGCCTTGAGGACTAGAATACAAAGAGAGGAGAAGAAGGGGAGGGAATAAACCTGAAATGAGAAGAAGTTGTTACCAAGAGAACGTGGTAGATCAGGTAGCCAGTTCATTAGTGTTCTGTTTAAAGTAAAAATTCTATTAGGAAATTAAAATTTTTGTTAAACTTGACTTTTTGTAGGTGAAATTCAGATGAAGTTGGTCCGTTCTTCTTTGTTATCTATTTACTCAACACATTGCACTGTTCTAATATTCTTGATGCCGATGTGTTTCATCATAATTACAGGTTTATTACTTTTTGTTTTATAGCTAATAATAATTGCGAGTGTAAAACTACTACAGAGAATTATTTTGGAACAATGCGTTAATTTACATTCTTCTTATGCAGAATTCTTTTTATTTTTCAATGCCTACTTAAACCTACTGCAATCACCGTGCTTCAACTCCCTTCCCACCCCCCCCCCCCCCCCCCCCCCCCCCCCCCCNCCCCCCTCCCCCCCCCCCCCCCCCCCCCCCCCTACCCTCCTCATATCGATTTCCATTCCATATGTCAATTGTCCTTTCATTTATTTCTATCGATCTTAAACTGGTACACTCTCAACTAACTTCGATTTTGGTTCGCTAAAATCGTCTGCCCTATATTCAGCAGTCTGATTTAAGTGGAAGATTTTTAGCTTTCATCAAAAAATTTAATTTTGTTTACCACGGATAGGGAACATGTTTGCAATCTCCTCAGACTAATCAATGGTTTAGTTGGACATTTAATTTCATTCTAGATTGACTGTCGCTACTTCAGAGCACTAATAAGATCAAATGATCGGTTCACGCCTCGCTAAGTATACTACGCAGCGTGGTATTCTTCGCGCGCAAACTTTTCCATCTTTGCGTTAAATCAATTTTCTCAATGACTTATTAATAAAATACAGTCAAAGTATCTATTGCAGTTGTAGTTCTTCTCATCTTATCTTTTAATTAAGGTAAATCTCAATGTTACTAAAATGGGTAACAAAATTCTTGCGGAACATTAATGGAAGGCTGTGTTACTTAGAACACGAAATCTACTGCTTTAAAGTGTCCGAAGATCAATAGTAAGAGCTTTGGTAAAATTAGCTATAACTAGATGAAGGGTGGCAGGTTTAATGGGAAAGTTACATCCTATAACATTTTTTTGCTGACTAGAATCCCAAAGAAACCCTACTCGAATAGTGTTGTGTAATAAGAAGGCCAATGTGTTAGAAAGACTTAAACAGAACTATTCCTTTGAATTTCAAAAAAATACTCTTAAATTTTTTAAAGCCATACTTAATTTTCAGTAGATGAGAATATTCGCCAAAACCCCTCTTATCTTGATAAGTTGAACAATTGTTGATGAGAAGGAAAGTGAAATATGTGTGATTTTATCGAATTTTTGCCTCCATTTTTGCCATTTATGAACGACCTTGGTTGTACATCGCTTGACTACTCAATTCGCGAATCAAATGATACGTCTATTTACTTTGCACGTAACGAAACAAACTGACATCCTGCAAACAACAAAACAAATAAATCGGCAGGAAGAGAGGCCACTCCTGATTTTGATCAAAAGTCACAATCTGCAATTAAATAGTGCCAACAAATCTAATAATTACTTTTCTTCATTTAATGAAAAAAATTCTCGGATTAAGAGGGAGGGAGAGAGAGAGAACTTGAAACAAATCTACTTTCACCCGGTGGTATATGCCTAAAGACCTATGGAATTTTTCCATCCTACGAATTGGTATAAATTAGTGTGTACTACCAAAATATAAGTAGAAACATGCTATGGCAATATATGTATTACCATCTACTTAGCTCCCATTGCTTAATCTCTCTCCTCGAGTGCTGCCACCCTCATAAAAATAGCAATTTATAAATCATTGATTTAATAAATCCTTTAAGCGTTTGTTTTTACCTTTTCTGTGGAATAAAATTCAATTATTTTTGACTATATTGTGCATATTTAGAAAACCAGAACTGCGAAATGGTCATCGTTGAATACTTGAAAACGTGATAAACAGAAATCGAAGTGAAGTTATATTCGAATAAATATGAAATAGCCAACAAATTTGATTTGTTGAATGCACAACGTCATCTCTTTCACCCTTAAGCACTCTGGAATTTTCGACCGTGTGTGCAGAAATCTCTCAGCCAATCTGCAACAGCATTTATGTAACGTTTAATAACATTCGTTGAATTTAAAGGTTTATTGGGAGTGTAGTTTAGCTAACCTAAGCAATAAATGCTTTCCACGGAAAATGCTTTCTTTCCTTTTAGCTAATTTCGAAAGAAAATGGAGGCGTTGTCAGAGAAGACGACTAAGGTTTAGTACGGGATTATTTTTGTTTCGTTCGCTAGGGAGTAATCTCGCAATCGGAAAACGTCGACACGTATTGCTCTTTATTTAGGTATTTCACATAAGATATTCTGCTAAAAATATTGTCAGGTATTTGACAAATAATTTACTAATTTTCGATATTACCAGCAGTACAAATGACTTCAAAACTTGAGTCAAGCACTGATACGGACGCTAGAAGCAATACCAGGGTGTTACAATCTTATAGCACTTGATTTCTGATTATGTAGTATTTATCAAATTACTAGAAATTAACGGAGGTACTTTTAATTTCAACTTTTTCTTCTGTATGCCTAATCACAAATGAGGACAAGCTTCTATTTAATCATACTATCGCGCTCTCAACCACTTTCTCATACACTGGGGTCATTATAGACAGCAAAAATCAAGCCAGTCACTGATAATAGCATTCTTAAAGGTCGTTAGGAGGCAAAAATCTAAACGGTAGTTGCCAACATGCGTCACTTGCAAAATTTTCATACTTTCATGAGATGAAAATCAATCGGAGCAAAGCAATAAAGTGGTTAATTAAGAAGGATGTGGCGGCAAAGAATAGGTTGAGCAACTAGGAGAACTAAGATGCCAAAGAAGGTAATTGGAGGAATTATGTTTGGCTCATAAAAGTGATCTGAAGAGAACTGTTTAAACAGATTTTCTTATGAACACGGGTCATAGGGAACAATGTCAAAACCATTACAAACAGTTTTATGTGGTTACTGAGTCACCGTGTCGGTATGCCATTTACGAAGCCATGGGGACGATTCCCATGGGCGCATTTCCAGTGCTCGAGTCTTACACAGAGGATTTTTGAATAAAGAAATAGATTTCCAACGTAGCCGGGGTGTGCGATAGACTTACCTCCACGTGGTGCACCCTGGGCAACGTATACTCATTCGGCAAAAAAGTCTATTAACCGGCAACTGACTTCTGACTTCAAACTAACATCACCACACTGTATATAATATATGCGACTACTTTCGCAGTACTCATCTTACCTTTTCTCTGCCTATGTGTCTTTCTGTCTCTTTTATACCTGTAAATCATTATTCTGTCCCTCTCTCGACTTTTTGCCACTTTGTTGTTCCTCCTTCTCACTGTGAAGCCAGAAATTAACTAACGGGCTAATGATAACTATCAAGACGCCTGCCATTTGAAATAATTTCCTGTTATCACTAGACGCTTTAATTTTTTCCGCAAATGAATGATCCCATATTTAAACTTAATACCTGACAAAAAATCCTTACAAATTAACAGTAACTCTACTATCGATTAAAATTCGAGTCCAAACTACTACTTACATGGAAGATATCTGTTTGAAATTCAGGAGTAATTTTTTGTAAAAACAAGATTATTTGACACATTAGAAGCAAATCACTCAACTAAGTGCAATTCAATGCAGAAGAGTTCAAAAGCATTAGCGTCTCACGAAACCAAACATTTAATATATAAAAATTACAATAAAAGAGTAAGCAATATCATTTTTGCGTGAAATTTGTTTCAAGTAAAAAACTATTCAGAGCGGGAGAATTTGGGATATTGCATTGTCTACATAAAATAGATATTAAGGAAAGTAAAAAATTCCCGAGGTAGTCAGCTGAAAATGATTCGGATATTAATGGCACATGAATAAAAACCGATCGGCTAGGGTTCCTTTCAAGTGAACTAAAGAAATAAAAAGAAGTGCAAAAAATGGCAATCATTATGAAAATCAGATTAGATTAATTTAGAAGAAGACAAACCGATAATAGATATATCCGCAAATATAGAAACCAGGGTCATTTGAAAGAGCGCAATCGAATCCGAGATTTTGCAATTCCTTACAGGCTTCTTTCAAATTAAGATCAGAGCAGATACAATTAATGCATAATTCGTCTTGTTGATGGCAATCTTGATCTCCTTTAATGTATGGCCCTGATTTCGACTGAGTTTCAATTTGAATCTGTTCAGCGCCAGCATTAACACCTACATGAATAACAAGATCCTAAACATACGATTCATTTGCCAAAAATATCTTAGTCACATACGGGTTTAATTTCGTCCCAAATATTAGCAGTGACCCTGTCAGCTGACTCATAAGAAACCTCAATATTAGGTATAACTATTAGTTCGGTGGAAGCTTGTGAGTCTGAGAGAATATTGGACCATTTATTTTTCAGATTGAGTGCAGCTATTGTGCTACTATTTCTTACGATACCAGAAAAAGGCCCAAAACCCGTAACAATAACTTTGGACTCAGGCATAGAACCAAAGAAACTGCCGAAGGAAAAATGTTGCACAACCTTGAGGTCAAAATCGTTGCTCAACAGTATTAATACCACACTTTATATTAATAGAAAAAGACTCTACAAAATTCATCACAAATAAATAAATAAATATTGTGAAAGAGATTTATTCTATATATCACTTATTGAGTTGTAGAAAACAAATTTATTAATATAAAAATAGTATTTAGGTTCATTTTCCTAGCCAAAGCGAAAACTGAGACCGACTGAACCTAGCCATGGGAACTAAAAGTCGGATGAACGATGGGGACACAAAAAGATTAAAAAGATGATAAAAGAAGTCTTTTATCAACTTAATGATTTACTTTTCCTACTTCTTAATGCAAACAAATCGGTAAAAGTTGCGATATGATTAAATTTACGTTGCGTAGAGCTTAAACCAAAGGTTTCATTTCATTTTTTTTCTCAATCGAGAAAATTATTGATTGAGATGTCTCAATAAAAATAAATATGTGTTTCTTGTGTATGCTAGATATGAAAATCGTTTATTTGATTCTTAAACATACAAACAAAAGGATCAAAAATTCGTTTTAATCTGGCATAATTTGCTCCTTGATATGGAGATTCCTTGTTTGTTATTAGTAAATAATTCATTATTTGTCAAGACAAACGCACTCTAGATAACACGTATAAGGTTTATAATATCATAAGCATGGCGCGAAGAAATTTCTTAACAGTAAATGTTCAAGACCTAAAGGTTTTATGGGAGCAAATAAAATTTTTGTACCTTGAGGGTGTTCCTAGTTTTATTGGTACATAATATTTTGTGAGCCCTATTAGGATAGAAATTTAGTAATTGAAGCGTACCGTTTTAAACTCATTTAACCATCACTCAATCATTTCAGTCAATTTTAACATTCCTTGAAGTAAATACGCAATTTTAATACCATTTAAATAGTTTATATATCATAAGTAAATACCAATGTGTCGTCATATTAATAATTTTCAACTTTAAAAACAATGATAGATACAGCAACTATACAGACAAATAAATTTGATTTTATTGTTCAAATCGGGCGACTTCTCATTTTATTCTCAATATTTTAGATTAGCTTCTATATGGAAATACTCCAATTAAGAAGGTAAGATTTATGTTGGATTTTATTTTGTCGCTCAAGAAAATTGTATCCCAAAACGAGACATTGTTATATAAGTTGTTATGAAATGTTATAAACTCTTATAAACCATTATAGTCATAAGTTAAGTACTCTTTGTTCAGCCGCTAAAATTTAAAGCTAATGGTGTAGTTATATTTTATGAACTAAGGTTGCTAAGAGATGTTAATGGTCTAATAATATGATTTAGAAAACCAAGTTATTTAATAATAAAAGCATCTATATAAGGTTCTCTTTATTGCGTTAATTAAAGTACAATTAGTTGAAGCAACATTTGATTATGAAGTGATTCGCGTGTAAGACTGTGTATGCTATTTTTTATTATAAAAATGCTTCAAAAATTTAAATGGAAACAAGACCAAATTTAATATATAATTAAGTAAATTCAAAATTAAATAAATATTTATGTGGTTTGCAGAATGTTAGCATTAAGTTGGGTATGTATTTTAGTGAACTAGAATACACGTAGCGCCACTTATCTGTCGTCTCGGATATGGTAAGGGCGTGCTAGCGTCAGGAATAAATATGATTATTTTCAATCTTAAATTTGAGCATTTTTCCTGTAAATTTGAAATTTAATTCAAATTCTCTTCGTTTTAATTCCAGGGTTTGGTTAAGATTACGAAGAATAAGGCTTATTTTAAGCGCTTCCAAGTCAAATTCCGCAGGCGTAGGGAAGGGAAGACGGATTACTACGCTCGTAAGCGACTTATCTGGCAAGATAAGAACAAGTACAACACGCCGAAGTATCGGCTTGTCGTGCGTCTTAGCAATAAAGACATTGTTTGCCAAATTGTCTATGCTTGCCTGGATGGTGATCGTGTGATGGCTTCTGCTTACTCTCACGAGTTGCCCAATTACGGTGTTAAGGTCGGTCTCACTAATTATTCTGCTGCCTACTGCACTGGCCTTCTTGTTGCTCGTCGTCTTCTCAAAAAGCTCAAAATGCACGATCTCTTCCAAGGTCAAACCGAAGTTGACGGTGAGGAATATCACGTTGAAGACCATGAAAAGCGTGGAGCCTTCAAGTGCTACCTGGACGTTGGTCTCCGTCGCACAACCACCGGTGCTAATATCTTTGGTGCTCTTAAGGTATTTCTTTTTATATTTGACTCATTCTGTTAGGGTGCCGTTGATGGTGGACTCAATATACCACACAGCGTTAAGCGCTTCCCGGGTAGTGATAAAGAATCTGGCGATTACGGTGCCGAAGAACATCGCCGAAGAATTTTTGGACAGCATGTTGCTCACTACATGCGCTTCTTGAAAGAGGAGGATGAGGATGCCTACAAGAAGCAGTTTGGTCAATATATCAAACACGGCATTGAGGCTGACAATATTGAAAGCATGTACGCTGACGCTCACGCTGCCATCAGGAAGAACCCGATGCCCAAGAAGGAAAAGACCGAATTAAAGAAGGCTGAGGAAGCTAAAAAGCCCAAGCGATACAATAAACGCAAGCTTAACATCAAGGAACGCCGCGAACGTGTCCGCCAAAAGAAGGTCAAAATCCTTTCTGACTTACAAAAGGAGTTGGCTGTTGCTGATGAGTAATTGTATAATAATAAGTTATCACTGTCGGTTAACATAAATCTTCTTTTATTCGTTTTGGTATAATATTTGGATTTTTTTGCTTATTGCCAACGCATTAATCTAATAGTTTGTTCAGTAGAAAATCATCTATTTTTAACTCCATCGTTATTTGCTTCCCAATTTTGATGTGGTATTTCAAAAGACGTAGTTTAAGTGCAACAAATTGCTGTGTTCTATTGTTTTCTCGTGTGGTTGTGCGGTTTTCCTGTCTTAAATATCTCTGAAACGTTTCAAGTTCCATTCATCAGAGGGCATTTAATTGATTATTAGCGTAATTGCCCTATGTAGGTGTTAGACGGACTTGTGGTTAACTAGCCAGTTTCCGCGCAGTCTTCTGTTGAATCCTATATTAGTTTGGCTTATAAAATTCTACGTTTTTTTGTATGATACGGTATGCTCTTTAATAGGAATCGCCTCTTCCATTCAGCGCCGTAAGCTAATTGGTTTATGGTTATTAATGTTCGCGTACACCTAAATTACATGGAAAACGGATAAAATACCAAAAGTGTGAATGGGGCAAATTAAATGGGAATAAAAGGTGAAAGGCTTGGGGTTTCTCGTGGTTATTTCTCCCTTTTCATTACGGGTTTGGACTACTAGTATGAAACCATTTTAGGAGGGGAGCTAGTAGGGGTTATTCAGTTTAACCGGGCTCCATCAGGTGACTGCCATCGCCTTAATAGTGACCAGATCCCTATTGAGGCTATCCTCTGTGCTGAGCTAATAGAGGACAGAAGCAACAAGAAAGTCATTTTAAGCGTTTATTGGTTCTTTATCTTGATAGCATCAGCCAGTGGCTAACAAGGACAAGGGTCTTGATCCCGTTGAGCAGAAAATAGAGGGAGTAAAGCGAAAGAATACCATTGAATATAGGCCAATGTGGAAGCCTAATTAAGGCTAGAACTCGTCGAAGCGTGATTGTGATCTAAGTCAATATTGAGAAACAAATAAGATTCCAGCAGTTCCTTCGGTCAATTCTGGGGAATAGGGAAATTGATGAAAAGACATTGGCTTGAGAATCAAGGGCCAGCAATGGCATCGCCCAGGACATCTTGTCTACCTTGATAAATTGAGGGGTAGATAATAACAACTTAAAGCCCAAATCGTTACTTATCACGCCTTCGCCAACAAAAAAACCTTTCAGCTCAATTTCGCATCCCCATCCCGCTAATTTTCCAAAATCCATTATTCGGTAGACCTACGAGCAATTAATTATTAAGTAACATTACTGCCCAATAGAAACCAGTCAAATTATTACACTATTTTCGGCAAGGTCACCATTACTACAAATATTGGTCTTTGGGGGG